TTTGTATTTTCCAACTTTGATGAAAGAATCATAATCTTCGACCCCGAAAACCCCTAGATACCAATTTTTAATAGAATCGGATCATAATTACAAAACTCATTTTCGTTTTCATTATTTCATGATGTGAGAAAGTAAACTATTATATTAACGGTCCTCAGCATTTTCGGAATCCAAATCACATTCCAAAATGATGAAACGTGAATTCTGAATTATACATACAAATCTGAACTCGCCGTAATAATCTACCTCCGAACAATGTTGCCATATGTTGGGTGTCTATTGACATCAAACCATGTGGAGTCTCATTCGGCTGGAGCATTTATTCAAAGTGTATATGTGTATTAAACGGTGGCGCCTCTAGTGTACCTACAGTGAACTACATCGTGTAACTGTATGTGTGTGACTGACGAAATGGCCTCTGATCGAAAGTTCGTTTTTATGGCTTCCAGTAGGTAACCATGCGAATGAATCAGATATACACAGGTGTTCGATTTGGCCTCCGATTTTTCGAAGTCGCCTCCGATTTTGGAGGCGTGTTCGTCCACAGAGTATAATATTTGGAGGTGTATAAGACGTTTTGCATATATATATATATATATACATATATATATCAATCTCGGTTCCTAGAAATCTCGAAATAAGTCGGATATAATCAGTGATACCCAATAGCAATTTAACGTTATTACGGCGACGTGTTTGAAGAAGTTGCGCAACCAAACATAAGTCGCGTGGCAACCTTAACACAATGTTGTTACAACCCTCTTTTGCACCAATTTGATCAATCACTTCCTGAGTTTTTGAAACGTTTCAGTTTCAACTGTAGGTAGTAGTCTGTGGTTCCGTAAACGTTGCTAGATTGACTTAAAAACTACCGCACAACTCAGCCCTCTTGCGCATGATACTTTACTTTCCATGGTGTTCAGAAATTAGTATATTCTTCAACCAAATAATTACCAGGGACCAGAATGGTCACTTAGGAAAAACTTTCAGACAACTATTATGGCCTGTTAATAACAAAATGTTTCATTCTCAAATACCATATTTATATTGCCGAACAATAACGATTGGAGACAGAAATCAACAGCGCATTCAATTTAACTGTCTAACATACTAACGTTTCATGCCAGAAAACAAGCACGCCTTTCATTCATTGCGGATTTGTCGACACTCAGAAATTTGAAAAAAATAAAAAATAAAAATTTGATGAAAAATGTTCAAAGCTGATATTGATTCAAATGAGAAATAAAGGGATATACCGGGTGGCTACGGAAGTATTGCCTACGGAATATCTCAGTTATTGTATGAAGTATGTTTTTGAAATTTGGAGCGTCGATATAATGACATAAGAGCTAGAATTTGAGCATATTGACATATCGAAGTTAACTTCCGGTCTGACCGGAAGTAACATCAACTTTCTTATTTTAAATGGAAACCTTATTTTTTTTTCTTTTTGCTTCATTCAGCATTCAATTCCCTTTCTAATGACATATCACAAGTTGGTATCTAACCAGAAACTAAACCAGAAAAAAATTATTATTGAAATTCACCGAGTAGGCCGTGGAAGCAAAATGAAAGCCAAAAAATGACTTTCTAATATATCATTAGAAAGGAATGGTTATGCTGAATAGTACAGGCAAGAAAAAGTTGTATGTTCCTATTTAAGTTATGGACCTACAGAGTATTGTTTTTTTCCCAATTTTTCCAATATTTTTTTTAGCGGCTTTTTATAACGCCGACGAATGAAAATAAAATATCACAGTAGTAGCAAGTGTCATCAAGTGACGTATGGTTTCCATAGCCAACTTTTCAATTTTTGGCTTTCATTTTGCTTCCACGGCCTACTCGGTGAATTTCAATTATAATTTTTTTCTGATCTAGTTTCTGGTTAGATACCAACTTTTGATATGTCATTAGAAAGGTAATTGAATGCTGAATAAAATGAAAAGAAAAAAAATAGGGTTTCCATTTAAAATGAGAAAGTTGATGTTACTTCCGGTCAGACCGGAAGTTAACTTCGACATGTCAATATGCTCAAATTCTAGCTCTTATGTTATTATATCGACGCTCCAAATTTCACAAACCTACTTCATACAATAACTGAGATATTCCGTAGGCAATACTTCCGTAGCCACCCGGTATATATATATGGTTTCTACAGAATAAAATAGGACAATGATACTCCTAAATATGTTTGTTTATTCCATAAGTTCCAATGGCCGACAATTTTCCCAAAGAGAATTACACTTCAAAAATGGCGTAGGAGTATTGAAAGCTTTCAAATTTAGTCTGCTAGACAAACAACTCAATACCTGAAGTGCACTGGGGTTTCGTATCCGACCTTAAACTGAACGCAGTCCAACTACTCCACCATGCTCCACATTGTGCAACGGCCTCTCGCCATCATTTGCGATAAATGTCATTTGTCATCGATCGTTGACCATTGATATGATTGATGTCATTTATTCTCGTATTTTCCGCATTCTTTATTCTCTCTATCACATTTTCTTCTGAAATCTGGGATAGCAAAAGATTTCAGAAATAATGGCTGCCCATTTCATAGCTTTGAACATAAAAAGCACGCAAGAGGACCAAGAGTTAGGACCCTTACCACACGAATGGGAAGAAACACTAGAGTCTCGAGATCATACCCGTGTGTTCACCGAACACGCCCGATCGTTCCCTAAGCGGTGGGGAAACGTAAACGGGCAGCAGTATAACTAGGTACGTTATGAATATTGGCGCGTGCCTGAATTATTTTGGAGTCAAATTTGTTAATTTAATGTACTTCGAAACGGAACACTAGTAGTTGTGCCTTCTTGTTTTACATAATAGGTAGACATCAAATCAATAAACATAGTGCTCTCGCCATCGGTATTTGCTGAACTTCGCTATGGGAAAAATGTTGAATAACTATATTGGGATGAAGAATGATCTATACAGGGTGTATCTAAATAACACCGAAATAATTCAAGGGATGATTCCTTCTGATATAATATGATGAATAAAGGTCATATAAACATGTGTCCTAAACTTGCTTCGTTTTCGAGGTACAGGGTTACGTCCTCTGATTTCGAATCCGAAGTCATTTTCAACCTATCTTGCCTCCTAATATCATTTTCCGGAAATGTTGGTGGGTCCATGACCAGAGCAGTGTTTTTCACTGAAGATTACCTCACTTTGGTCATAGTTGGTATATATATCTATCGCTCCTTAAAATTGAACAGTTACGTTAGATATATACGGGTTGATATTCCATTATACAAGTGACATGCACACTGTTTATATTTTTAAATACATCCAGTGGGATTGAATTTTATTTCATGTTGAATATTAGAGTGTGTTTTTTTATGTGATATATTTTTTTTGTTCATTTCAAATATATATATTTTTTTAGTAGGTATACTAGTACTTCTTTTATATAATTCTGAAATCTGATCCACCCTGTATTTGTTTCAATTAAATGGCATCAGTAGATAGTAAATAGAATGTTAGGATAGGGACACATGTAAGCCATTTTGACAAATCAATATAGGTATGGTATAGTTTCGATACAAAAAAAATCTCGATTTTTCACATTCTACGTATAGGTAATATAGGTATACCTTGAGCTTGATCAACGAAATCATAGCTCAATTAGAAGAATCGAAAGATGTAATGAAAAATATAAGGTGTTCCATTTTGAATAACAAAGCTGCTACTACTATAATACTAAGTACTACATAAATACTAATAATAATTTCTAGTGAAGCAGATGAACATTATCGAAAATGATTTGAATAAAACGAGCGTCCTCGCCAACAAAACATAAGCATATAATATGTACATATAGTTTCATGATTTTCGATGAGTGGTTCGCTACTTACATGTAGGACTCGTCGTGACATAGCTAATTATTGCAAATCAAATCATCGCTTTCATTATCTGATAGGTCGCAGTAGATCACTTGATGCCTATCAAATGTTTCTTATTTATTCGAAAAAAAAAATGTTGAAATGTGATCAAGAAAACTGTTGGTGGCCCACCCCGTACTACAAAAACAAAGACAGCATGAGAAAAGCTGCCTGCCCACTCATTGTATCATGACTGCCTACTTACGTCTCGGTCTCCCCGCGCTTAGGTAACGATCGAGCGTGTTCGGTGAACACACGGGTATGATCTCGAGACTCTTGTGAAGAAACTGGTCAGGGCATACTGGCCCCCTACAAAGGGGCAAGTTGATGATTATTCCTGCATAAAAAATCGAACTTTACAATCGCTCTGTCTTCATGTAGGCTTATACCTGTGAAATTTCTTCACGATATAATCTCTTTTTTTGCCTGATAGGAGCCAGTAGTGTATTTGAAGGCTCGTGTTATTTTCAATTTCGGAAGCTTTTCACCATAACTTGAGTTCACATAAGTCATGAATAAGAGACACCATACTGCTCTCGTTCCGAAGATGTTCAGAACAACAGGCCTCAGCATTCAGCTATCCAGAAGAATTTGAGGAATTTTGACACTGACATCATTCATCAAATCATAATGTAATGTCATGTCCTAACAATAGGTCAGTTTTGAACAAGTAGATGTTCAGATTTAAATGTTTGAATGACTAAAGTTGTCACTCAACCATATTTAAAATTAAAACGTCATTTTGCCATTCGCAAAATACTTACTACTTTGTAGTTGGTTGGGTGAACGTTGTAACAACGTCATAGTCTAACTTAAGTCATGCTAAACATTGAGACGACGGTTTTCGGTGGTTTAGAGGACTTCGTTTAATGAATGACGAATTTCAATACGTAGAACGTACAACGCTAGTTTTGGTGTATTATATGGTTGTCGTCGCCAAATTGCTACTTGGGTAATCAATAAAAACGAATCTATTGAATCGAAAGGTTTAATGATTCGAAGTTTCAATTTATAATTCTTGAGGAAGAAGAGGAAACTCTCATGTAGTTGAGTCCAAATCCACGCTCGCAGGAGGGCTGCCTCAATTTACGGGTCAGTATCATCGTCTCATCAAATCATAATATAATTCTGCAAATTGAAAAAAATGCTATACTGATAATAGTTCTATGACAATATTTGCTTCACCCTACCTCTGGATCAGATTTGTAGAAACATTTCTGCAGTTCGTATACTCTCTTCTCCAGGGGAGTCACCTCTGAAACAAAGAATGAGATATTAAATTAGCACATCCGCTGACTCCTGAATACGGGTATTCGAAATTTGACATGGATTAGCCATAGTAATCTGGATTGCTTTTTCAGCAGTTCCGTCAGATCATATACAGGGTGGTCAAAATGTTATTGTTCTGGGTGTCCCACTCAATGGTTTCACTCCCCTTTATAATCATAATTTTAACATATTTTCGTTATTCAAAAACTTTTCTGGAAAAACTTTTCACGTTTCTTCCAAATCTGAGGTAATCTAGACTAGTGAAAACGTACGATAGCCAAATCATGTTGCCATTCACATGCCCTATACCGGGTGTTTTTCATCAAAAGTGGCTCACCTCTTCAATTTTTTTGTTTCTACAGATGAACACATGACATTTGGTGTGTGAGTATAGTACCTACATAAATATACATTATTTGACTCATTCAATTGTTTCTGCCACTTCCGGTTTCACCGGATATATGGCCATTTTTTTTCTTATTTTGAATGGGATACTCGGCATATTTATACTCATTTCGATTATGAATAACATTGTGAGTACAACTACACGACATTTGCAACTCTCAGACATGTATCATCTCAAAATTTTCTTTTTCAAATTTCAATCTAGACTGCCATGAATGAGTTAAAACAATTTATTTCGAACCAAGTTGCCATGGAAACATTTTTTCGATGTAATTTTACTTTCCATTTGTTTCACAGGTTGTTTAAAAATAAGTCTCAATATCGTAATGATTATCATGATGTTGACTCAATTTTTTTCTAATAAGACAAGGGTGGCTCATTTTGAATCGTTATATCATATTCACTCTAGATGGAAAATTTAAAGATGAAAATTTCAGAATGGTGAATGTGAAGTGGCAAAAATGGGGTGTCATCGTACTCACAATGTCATTCTTAATCGAAATAAGTAAGAACATACCAAGTTTTCCATTTAAAATGAGAAAATAAGGGTCATTACCAGCTGAACAGGAAGTGACAGAAAACAATTGAATACGTCTATCAATGCATATTTGTGAACTGTACTCACAAAGCGAAATGCATTTGTTATAGGGTTATATATAGGGGTGAGTCACTTTCGAGGAACACCCGGTATATGTAACGATTGGGCTAACAATCTGTATAGTTTGTTTCAAATTATGCATGGCCGGCCCAGTACTACATACGCTCTTCGCATACTCGTCAGAAAAGAAATAGCATTGTTCTTCCATTTATACAGGGTGGTCCAACGAAAACTTTAAACCCCGATTTCAGGGCTTCAGAATAAAAATATGGAACAATGCTCAGACCCTTTGATTTCTGATTCGAACAGGTCTTCAATGGAATTAACAACATAAATGGTAAATGACGGGAGGGGTAAACGCCTCGTTTGACAAATTTACAACGCGTTCAATAAACACTAAGGTACTTCTTGCACTTGTTGTATAAATAACTATTGTTTTCTGCTGTTTTCAGTTTGGCTGTACATATAAAAGTGTGATTTTCAGTTTTCCAAACCACGATATATTTTTAGAGACGTTCCGTAGTTAGTCAAGGACATTTTTGCCAAGTTTACGGAGAGAAACTTTGTTTCCACGTTCGAGTAAATTGGGCCCTCAGATAGTGCTCACCCTTGACTGGTCTTAATATTCATTATTTCCAAATTTTTGTCTATGCACCGAACCCTCAAATTGAATTATTTCAGTGAACAGAATGGCGTTATTGTAGAAGTAATCGAAAACTAACCTTCAACTTTCTCCCAACATCCTAGTACTATTTTCGGACCTGTTTCTTTTATCTGAGGAGGGCAAAGTTCCATCATGCGATCCCTGTTTAGAGTACCATCAGGTTTAATCTGAGAATTAAAAATATTAATTCTGGTTAGAGTATTTTGATACTGATTCCATTGATAAATGTTTTTAAAATGAGAGAATTGGAGTGATAGCCACTTTTCGTAATAAAAACTTCAAGGGCTTTTTCTTGCTTTCGTACAGGATCAGATACAAGAGCATTAATTTTGAAATTGGCCTTCGTGAAATAAACATTCCGTGTATGAAGTATCACGCTCGGAATTTGTACAAGAGTAAGTATTATTCTTGAGATATGACCGACTCAAATAGGCTATAGATACAAAAAAAACGGGTTTTCAAAAAATGAATATATCAAATTTGATCACACGATATAAATACAACCAACATTTCGACATTTCAAGTTTTCGAAATTAGTTAGGTAGTTAGTAAGGTTTTCATTTTGATCGACATTAGTCAACGCATTCCAGATTACCAGTGTTTTGCGGTTTCGAATCGCACACATTATATTCAGCGTTTCCATGGAAGAGAGTTTGTTTCTCCTCAGCAGACCCAACACGATGTGCTGAGACAATTTCTGAAATCATCATGTTGGGAGATGCAAACCTACATACCGAACACTGCAAGAATATCCGATGCCGATGAGGCCTGGTTCAGTAGAAACTGCTCTAGAGCTGTTGCTTCCAAACAGGAAGCATTCTATCGATGGCATAAAAATCCAGGCCCTGAGACTAGAGCAGAATATGTCGAGGCTAGAGACATATGCGATGAGACAATGCGATTATGAAAGGCTGCTCATAATGCCAAAATAAGATCGAAACTTGTTGAATGTCCTAACGTATTCTGTTCATTTTGTTCCTTCGCCAAAGCTATTGGAAGAAACTTCACTTTCAGCTCGTTTCCTCCTCTAACCAAGGAAGATGCTACACTAGCCACTACTGCCCAGGAGAAAGACAACATTTTTGCGCATTTATTCGCTAAAAATTTCACTCTGGATTCATCGGGAAAACTACCTCCAAACATAACGCCAATTGACAGTCATATGCCTGAGATCACCTTTCGCCAATGTACTATAAGGAAGATTTTATTGGGTCTCAACACCAACAAAGCTTGTGGCTCTGACGGAATTCCATCGATTGTCCTCGAGGACTGTGCTCCCGAACTAACATCTGTTCTCTGCAAGTTGTTCGACTACTCCTACGAATTGGGGATATCCCCGTCCAACTGGAAAATTGTAAGTGTACAACCAGTTCCTAAACAAGGCGAAAAGATCCTACCTATAGCAACTACAGACCGATCGCATCTGCTATCTATTAGGTATGTCAAATATTATGGAGAAAGCTATCAACATCGAGCTTATGAAATACCTGGAACACTCAGGTATTATCAACGATAGGCAATATGGCTTTCGTCATCAGAGATCAACTGGTGACCTGCTCGCTTTCGTCTCACATATATGGCAGCAATCTATTGAAAAATATGGTGAAACCTTAGCCGTGGCACTTGATATCTCCAAGGCATTCGATCGAGTCTGGCACCACGGGCTCCTCGCCAAGCTTCCATCTTATGGCTTGTCTCCCCAGCTATGATCTCTGTTGGCTAGTTTTCGCTCACACAGGTCTCTCCATGTAGTGGTCGACGGAGTTTCATCTGACTCTCTTATCATGAATACTGGTGTTCCGCAAGGATCAATTCTAGCACCAATACCATTTCTACCTGCCAGGCAAATCGGAAACGAACGGGAGAGAAATGTTGACAACACACATATATTATGGACTTGGCAACAATTATTCTCGAATGGGGATCCAATAACTCGGTAGATTTCAATGCGAACAAAACACAGGCATGCCTTTTCCCTATAAAAGCAGATCTCACTGTGTCCAACTTAAGCTTGTAAGGAGTAAACATACCTTTGAAGACATTAATCTCGATGCTAGGTATTACTATCAGCAATAACCTTTCATGAGAAAATCACGTGAGATCAATTGCTAAAAGTGCATCCCGAAAACTTGGTTTTCTGTTTCGGGCCAGGAGCTATTTCACTTCCAGTCAGCTGCTTATGAGCTTTAAGGCGTAGATCTGACCTGTCCTGAAAAACTGTTTCCATATTTGGAGTGCAGCACCCAAACATACCCTGAAACTGTTGGATTATGTCCAAAAATGGGGAATTCGTCTCGTGGGTGATACGGGACACCGTAGAAAAGTTGACGATCTGGCTCTATATTTCCATGGACGATGCTCTTCTGAGATATCAACAATTGTTCTTCACTTGGCTGTCCCCGCGAGATTGACCCGTCGAGTTGAGGCTTTGCACCCCTTCGTGGTCACTTTGGAGACCTGTAGAACATCTCTTTCCAAAGACTCGTTCATCCAACGAACAGCGAGGCTCTGGAACTCATTGCCAAGGGAGGTGTTCCCCGGGGCATTTAACCTCCAGAAATTCAAGAAGACTACCAAATCCTTCTTTATTTCCCTTGGTTCTCACGATGTTCTCTGAACATTACAGGATATCCTTTATTGTGGAAACCAGAACATAAAAAAACAGGGTGAGTAAAGTTCCGCTATATACAATTCAGGAAGACATATTCATGATGAACTGCCACTGCACGTCGATTGATATTTTTTCAGGCTTCATATTCAGGCATCTTAAACAATCCGATTTTTCTCAATGATCAGTAGCCTGTGACACTGTGACAGGGACTCCAATACATGTTCGTGGAACCCATTGTGTTACTTATCGCGTACCTAGGGATATTCATAGTGATGGGGTGAGAAGGTTGGTATTGAAATTGTCCTGGTACTACTTGTAGCATATCCCATTGGAGACCTCTTGTGGAGAGAAAATTGACAGGAAAAGTGCATAATTGGAGAAAAACGTCATACCTTCGAATTTGACATCCGAAACATAAATAATAGAAAATAAACATGACATAATACTACAAAATATTGAATATTATATCTGTTATGTTGAAAAATGCATCTTCAATACACATAGATAACTATTTGGTCGACAAAACAATCATTTCAAGCTTCTGATCTCGTCAAATTTTGATACATTCATTCATTGATTGATGAAAAAATAAATGGTTAGGCATGCTTTGGACGGTATGGAGGGGTTCTGGAAGCCGAGAATTTGTCTGAGATTCAAACTATAGCATATATATACATTGAATACCACTACAAAATTGTACAATACTATATTATATGGAATATTACCACTACAAAATAGTATGATACTCATAGTATAGTATGATATAATTTTGTTTTGGTATTATTCGATGAATGTATATAGTGACTGGCGCCTATTTTTCTAAACGTTTGGTATTTATAGTTTACCCAAAATCAATTGCAGAGTCAAGTGTCTCAACTGCAGTCACTTCAAAGGGAACTTCAAACACGCCGACGCCGCACAATGCGGGGTATTCTGCAATTGATATTGGATAAACTATACTACCGACTATCTCTGTGTGAGCTGCACCACCTGTGTATTCTCTTATTCGTCGACCGACTCCAATTTCTTTTTGCTCAATGCGATATACTTTCTCAATTCTCTCATTTTACACGATCTACTATGATCGAATCAAAGTTTAAATAATCCACTATTGATATCACTCTTTTTTTTAGCAAAAAACTAATATCATCAGCATGTTGAGAATATCTGTTACAATTTTCATGAAGATATCATATAGATACAATACGTTTTTCATAAGGAATTATCTATTATCCGTGAAAAAAATCATTTAAAAAAAAATCATATAGGTACATGATTTTATTTAGGTGCTCTAAGAATAACTTTCAAATGTTTTTTCTGTACTTATCACACAAAGGTTGTTGTTTTGTAAAAAATTCATTCATCATTTTTCACGTTCATTTGAGAAGAAATTGTAGTGCATAATCCAATTGACAAATCTTTTTATAAAGGTATCGAAAAATCAAAAATTTGTTAGTAATATCGTCATCTTCCGTAAACTTTCTGTGGCATTAATCGAAATCAGAATGTTGAAATTTCTATACTCACAATTTGGGATTCCAGCCATATGCATGTGACATATTCCTATAAAAATGAAATTTTTTGTTAAAACATGTTACATACATTCTACATATGCGTAGATGTACATTCAGTACAATAAAACTACACCATTCAACTGAAATACTTAATCATTGACAATGTATACAAGACATTTATCCAAAGTGTACAAGACATTTATTCATGTACAGATTTCATTACAATGCTAAGACGCAGTTTCTACAAAATCGAACCTCTCAATTTGTCCATGTTTTAATATAGTTTTTGGCTAAGATTTGAATTCTGTCTTTGTACGATTTATTTGTGATTTTAATTGGAATATGAATACTATTAATTTCAATGTAAGTTTCAGTTTGAAATTCCTTCAATATTTGAACAAATTCGAAAATATTCGGATGAGGTGCATACAAACTCAGACTCAGAATGAAAGGATTCACAGCACTTTGTTGTTCTGTAACTACTAGCGTCGGCACGAGCACAAATTTAAGAAGAGAATTCAGAATCCTTGTCCAAAATTATCAACAAGATATTCAAAATAATTTATCAATCTTGCGTCATTCGTCAACATTTGATTTCCCACTGTTTCTAGCTCTTAAAATGTCAAGCCAAGTGTCTAATGTAAAATACTCCCAATAAGTGAATTATTGTTTTTGTATCCGGACATCAACCCTAAACTTTGGATTTTCCTGATCCAAGATTGTCTCAGATGAAATCTGCATCCTATCATTTTTGTTTCTGGCCATATAAATCTGATGGATAAATGAATAGAGTTTTCAAAATCCGATGCGACTTCAACAGATTCAAAATTGATATCCTAGTCGTACACATTCTTGGCTCACGATTTCGAAACATTTGTTAGGGTAGGGGGTGTTCCGATAATGAGCAGCGACAGTATGTCATTGATAACCTGCTGAGTCTATAGATTAGGCTTATTTTTACCATAGGCGCAACTGGGTTATCATAAATTCCGGGCTCTTCTGAGACCCGGATTAGAACAGGGAGAATAGGCTAAATGGGGTTATACCCGCCCAAACGAATTTGAAAGAGAATGGTACAAAGCTTTGAAATATCTCTGCACGAAGTGTAATATGACCCATTGTACAATTTAAACCATTTGAGGGGGTTGATTTGAAGGGTAGGAGGTTGTCAGGTGGTTGACAAATGTTATGTAAAAAATACATATTCGAAAATGAAAATCGACCTGTCCAAGGATTTATTAAAATATATTATGTTATGTCATAGGGATTGTATTCAACAAAATGCTGTTTTTTCAGCATTACAGCACTAGCAAATCAACCTACAGTATGTGATTTTTCTGCTAGGTTCTCCTTTCGTCTAGAAATGATTGTAGGTTGTAAGGGAATTCTGGATTATTCTTCCGTTTTTTTTTCTCTTATAAGTATCCTTTACTATATTATATACCACTTGGGCTGAAGTAAACTTTCACGCATAATGCAACAAACACCCTTGTTTTCACTAGTTCCACAAATAACTATTTAACGGCTTCTTTTGACTTCATCGATTTTTATTGCCCCCCATTTGTTTCACTCGGTTGCGCCTCCTTGAAAAAATCAGTTCTCGATCTACGAAGTAGCATGTTGTGCACTTTTTTTCGCTTGGAGAGCACGAGAGAGAATACCTATAATGTTCTAGGACCATCGTGCATGACATTCATTATTCCTCAAAGAGTTATATAAAATTTTATATATTATGAAAGAAATTACGGAGAATGAAGTTTGTTCTTAGTGAATTGCACTAGCCGCAATATCGAGATTGAAATAAACTAAAAAAGCAGGTAAATATGGTTTTATGAAAATGATTTGGTTTAATTTGTTCATGTTATTGTAGAACAATTTTGAAAATCACTATCACATTCATGGTTTCATAAATGACTCCTGAAGAAATCTTGTAATAAAAATTAATGTAAATCGATCGAAAAAATGTTGTCTGCTTTATGTGCAAAAAGCACCGATATTAATTTGTTGCTCCCAGCAAAAAGATCAATTATTTGATTTTATTCTTTCATCTTCTATTATACTCACTCCATTTATCGCTTCAATTTATGGAACACCATGTAAGATTTCAAATTCTCATATGTTACCAATATTTACCTCTGATTTGTCTTCTTCTTCAAAATGTCCTTCTCTCATGCTTAGTATTGTAGCTTCGGGTATTCCTGTTTTTCTGACACAAGTATTGTGTAACACCGGTGCCAGTTTCGAGAGGTTCTCTCCAAGTTCCTGTAAAGGAAACGTTTTCTTTATAAATTGCCACTGCTCTGCTCCTAGTTCTCATTAATTTTTGGTTTTCCTCAATAGTAGGTACCAACCCATGATAATTTCCAACGAATTCGTATTTCATAGTCCAATATCTATACCTAATATCTAATCTGTGGAATAATTTCGAAATTCCAAAATAATATCTTGATATTGTGATCATATTTGTAAATTTGTAAAAGGTAATCGATATTCGATATCTGAAACGCATCAACAATGGCATTTTCAATGGTTTTAGACAATCATATCCTAAACCTGTGAGTGGCGAATGTGGTATTCTCACCCGATATGTGCCTTTATTCAAGGGGTCCGTGAAGAGAAGGAGGTCAATCCCTTAACAGTATACAGGATGAGGCAAAAGTATGGAAACAGGTGAACATATTATCTGTAACCATTCTTTAGATTTTTTCCGAATGTATGTCTAGGTGATATCAAAACATGGCGGATTTGATAACGTTATCGCCAATGTTGCCACTTCTTCAGTTATTCCGGAATTATTATTACTTTCCTCATTTTGAATAGAATTTTCAGATTCTCCCTGAAAAGCTGATCTCTTCGATCTATCATACTTTGAATCAATAGAAAATGAGTACAGAGATATAGGGTGTTTTAAAGCGAGATTCTCCAAATATACGATTTTTTTGTGTTGAAATCATTCATTATTGGTTAGAACGGTTCACATGTCCGTCCTCAACTTCTGATTTGCTTTCTACTGACTTTTTTGATTGAAACAAATACAAGATGGTCCAAGATTCAGAATTCTGATCACCATGTATCTGTTTCAAATAATTGTCAGTAGATAGTGAATCAAAAGTTGGAAAAGATTCATCGAACCTGTTTCGAGCAATAATGAATAGTTTCGACACAAAAATATCCTAAAGTTGAAAAAACTAGGTTTTGACCACCCTATATCTCGGTAATCATTCCCGCTAGACCCCAAGTGTGATCGATCTATGAAATCAGCTTCTGAGGAAAAATACAAAAATTCAATGAAATACAGGGTATTCTATTAAGAACGAGGAAGTTAGATTTAATTCCGGAAGAACTGAAGAAGTGGCAACAAACGGTTACTGAGATATTCACCTGTTTCCATACTCTTGCCCAACCCAAATATACGTCTTCAAGACGTGTATTCTTGGAACACAAGTAATATGACGTTCCTCAAGCCTATTTTTTTCTGGGACCAATGTCCGCCTTACTGGACGTCAGAGTTTGAAATTCGAATCAGTTTTTTTCAATAATTCGGCTATTCAATAGGATATCGATTTCAACTCGAATGCATGAATGAAGGGAGATAAATTGAGAATTTGAAATTATATTTGAATAGTCATTTACCGTTAGGGTTCTTCAATTTCAAGCGAGACATTTGGAATGGTCTGATTCTTCTCAACTGAAACACACCGATCACCTAGCCTAGACCAATTATTGCATGAACCATAAAAAAATATTGTGATCCGAAAACATCAACAGTAGAAGTATATTACGAAGTATATTTTTCCAAATTAAGGGTTGGAGGAACATGCTTCGGGTATATATATATATGCCATCATCAGGCTCACGAGAACAAGAAAATATCACCTACAAGGAAATTGGAGATGGAATGACTGAAAATACTCAAATAATCGTACAATTAACAATTGTTGAAGTTATCATACTTCATTATGTGGGACGAGATAACTAATACGAAAAATATTTTCGGGCCTTACGAACAAGTCGCTTCTTCAGCTTTCTCCCAAAAGCTTCCATTTTGAAAAAAAACATAGACTAAGTGAATGGGGGGACATCTGTGAGGATTATGCGCAAGACCAAGCACAAAGATAAAAAACCAACTGATATGAAACTCACAGATTTCTGCAGGAAAGTGAAGAAACTCAACACCAGGTGAAGTCTATAGGAATCAGCCCAGATGATGAAACCATAGATGAAACCAATAATTCATATCAGAACACTGAACTTTAGTGTATTTATAATAACGTCTCATTTTTTTGAAATAATTCTGGAATTTCGATGACAAATCTCATGAATCAATGAAGACAAACTAATGAGTTTAAAAATGGAAGGTCATCAAAGTGGATAGGGATATAGTAATATTGGGATTGATTTCGAAAATTTACAAAATGTTCAGTTTTGTACCCTCTTGGTCATTTTATGCATCACATATTATTATGATGCTAAATGAAACTTAGTACGTACGCGGTACGTTTCAAGCAACTCCTCACTCAACATCAAAATTGATTGATTCGCTGAAAAATGTAGAGATTCCAAAACAGCATTTCGAGTAATGATGCTGCTTGTTGCGACCTATTATATTATTTTTATCCTATTATAATGAATCGAAGGACTATACTGAATTGAATGGTTTTCGTAGTTATATACACAGTGTCGTTTGGACAGGAATAAATAATCGATATTCTAATACCAGGCACTGGTGCGGTATTTGCCATTAGAGCACCTGGTCCATACACAAATATGTCACTCTGTGGTTGTATTCATATTGAATGAACTACAGTTCGAACATCCTTGAAAATTGAATAATCCTGCTGTTGAACACTATTATTAAACACACCTTCAGTCGTTTCAGTCCTCTCCTATCCGGTCTGTCAATTGTAAGAACTGTCAAATGTCATTTCCGAATTGTGTTGCAGTCTGAATTATTGAAGCAATTTCCGTTTATATCAGAATTCTTCATCAGAAATGTAAAGATTCCAAAACAGCATTTCGAGTGATGATGCTGCTTGTTGCGACCTATTATATTATTTCTCACTGTACTCACCTCAAGTTTCAAATATGCAGATGAAAATTCTACTGCTATGAAGAACAGAATTATATACACACTTGACTTGTACATATTTGAATATATATATTTTTATCCTATTATAATGAATCGAAGGACTATACTGAATTGAATGGTTTTCGTAGTTTTATTACCTCTATATATATTTCAATCCCAATCGCCTCAGAGAGCAGGACAGTATTTAATAGAAATGTTGACTTTTTTCAACGAAGCATCAATCTATTTCCATGTTCCGCTACCGAATATCTCATGAATTAAAACGCAATAATAATTATACTGATCATAATAATAACAATAATAGACAGACATTCAATATTTATATGTAGAATACATTTTTCATCAATGTCTGAAGAAGAAAATGATGCCGTTAATTTCATATAGAGAAATCGAAAACTTTGACACCTTAGCGAACCGAATAGTTTTTATCTACTACGTCACATGAAATCTTATTCACGAAGGTCAGTAAACAAGTCATTTCAATAGAAATTCATCTATTCTATGGACTGGACGCACATCTACAACCACTATAACTTATACGTGTCTCGTTACTCCTTCCATGCAGTTGCATAGTATTATATGTATTATTTTCTCAATTCCCATTCCCTTTGAATTATTTTGTAGGTAAGCAGATAGGTTATCAACTAATTTTCAGAATTATGGGATCTTGTCGAAGAGGGGAATTATGAGTTCGTAGAAAAAGTATAGTATGTAACGCTCTGCTGCGCGCGTGCTCAAAATTCTCGTTACCAAAATGACGTTCATAACACTTTCTGCATAATATACTATCAGTAGTATATACGGACTTTCATCTAATGTGAGGTTTTAAAGTTACAAGAAATTATTTCATATTCTAGAGAGGCTTATATGGTCACTTACTCATGCTACTATATCAAAGAACAAGTTGATAACGTTGTCTTTACTTCATACACCAGGTGAACATGACATTCTAAAATAGTTTCGTAATCGAATTGCGACACATCAATATTTTTTTTTTCAATTTTATGGAGTGCACGAGAGGAAATTCCTATTATTTTCGCAAAATAACGTGTGCGTACCTATAGGAAGGATAGAGAGAGAAGATTGGTATTGGAATTTTTTTGAACTTTTGAAAGTATACTTATCAGGCAGAGAATTCCGGAGCTCTGTGACTTAGTACTTCGTGCATGGTTGACGACAAAAAGTTGTTCTATGTGCTGTCTGTTAGCCTTCTGTTATCTGTTAGTGATAAACTGTTAGCCGAGATCATTTCCCGTGGCAGAACCTATATAGAAAAGTGAAAAGTCGCTTTTTTTCCTGCGGTGTTCCATCAATGATGTCCAGGAATGAGTGAATGTGGCATCACCAGTCCGGGCTCGTATCTGATTGGAATCTAAGTTCATCATTATATCTTCATAATAGCGACACACTTTGATGAATTTTGATATGGTTCTAAGCGGGATTTGGAATCAGTTATAGAACGCTAGGTATTTTTATTATTTTATCTTTCGTAGGTTGATGAATTAAACAGATTGCAAAATACATTATCGTAAGGTACGAACTTTGTACAACCTTATGAAATTCATCCGATAGTCCAAGAGGTTAGATAAATCTTGATTAACTAACCTAACTCTAATACCCTAACCTGAACGTATGGTATAGTTTATGCAAAGTCAGTTGAACAGATCATCAAACGAATGTCGGGCTGCGCTGCCGCACACTATGAACTATCAAAGGGACCGACGGCTTGCGGTGATGTGTTTTTCCAACTGACTGTGCATAAACTATACAATCAGAGGAGTCGGTAGTGAATAAATGTTCAGTGAAATAGGCGTCAGTCACTACATTCATTGAATAGTACCACAACATAATTGTATCATAGTATATACTATGACAGATTGAAGAAACAATAATTATAAATATATAAAATTTTGAAAAATATTGATTTATACGGATTCTTTCGAATTGTGATATCTTGACTATTTACGGTGGTTCAGAGAATAATCTAATCCCGGTCCTGGTTATTCTTCAACGAAAAAAAATAAGCACCCAGTCTAATTTAAACAAAGGATGATTCTACATTAATTTGAAAAAAAACATCATTATCTCCACCTATGCAATGATAATGAGCATTATTTGATTTTTTATTATCCACATGCTTGTTATCCAAATAAATAGTTTATCTATGATTTGAAATTATTATTTATCGCACAGATAGTTGCATTGATATCTCGAAAAATTCAACTGTTAATCATTTAATGATTCTTGTTCAAGACACTTCACTGCCTTACTCAACCAATCTTTTCAGAAGGAGATTGAAAGTTTCATGAAATGCTTTTCACTTGTTTCATAGATTAACGACTCCCTTGTTCGCACCCTCGAAAATGTAGATTCATTCATTTCTTAGACTCACATACATATACATGTTTGATATGGCGAATGTGCCATAATAAAAAAAAAAAACTAATAAACGATTCATCATTCCAGATTTTTTGGGTTTCTCTATCGTTTCTATGAAATAGAAATATAAATATTATTTCAGTGTAGTAAGAACAAATCAGATGATTTGCCCCAAAATGTCACTGCGTTTGAAGAATTTTTTTATCAGAGAGCCTAAAAGAAAAATTCACCAGCTTGTCATTGACAATTTGTATTGAAAAAGGTTTGGAGAGTTTCACTTAGCTTTGGACGTTTCGGGAACGAATCTGCTCCCGTTCTCAACATGAAAAATAGATATTTGAATAGCAATTTCTCATTTGTCTCGATACTTTCCAGTTCTCAGTGACAATTGGTGACGTTGGCAATCAAAGAGTTACATGATGTTTTCATTTATTAATCTCAAATTTACCATTTTTGTTTTTTCAGATTTCAGTAGTGAATACCATTTTCTTTTTATATCTACTGAACAGGAAGCAATGTAATTGTCTCCGTTCAGAAGAATGCAAGCAGATTCCTTCACTTTTTTCTTCTGATCTTTTTCCAATGATTTTAATATCATTCCATTCTGCCATATGTTGTCCATCTTCAGTAAGGATATGTTCAGCTAGTTTCGATTTGTCAATGTGTCTTTACTTCTACTTATGTTCCTTCGTCCTTACTGAAAAAGGTCTCTTGGTTTCACCTGTCTAAACTTTCCACAAACACAAGGTATACGGGTGTCCCAACGAAAACTTTCCACACGGATTTACTGGGAAATGACAAATTATTTTCGGAAACGCTGAAACACGTCGATTTTGATTTCTAGGGGGACACATGTCAGTGATGAATTTAGTCACGCAACTTCATCCCCCTGACAGGGGCGGCTACCCCATTGCGAATCATCATAGGGAACTTGGGTCGAGTGATACTTCATCTTCAAGCTCTCGTCATTCTCTATCCAAACGTTTATATTTTTTCAAAATCGAATGACTGGTAATTGAGATTAGTGTGGTAATAGGTTTAATTTCAATAATCAATATCGTACCTGTTCTTATCGAAATTCAATTTATTAATTGCTCGAAATGAGCCCCTCCTACCTCCATACAATGATAAAGTCTACTTTCGAAACTATTACGAACGTTTGCCAATACTTCTGGAGTTATTCTGCCGCACTCGTTTACAATTCGACCACGTAGTTCCTCTAGTGACTCTGGCGGAGTGGCAAAAACTTTGCTTTTGAGATGCCCCCATAAAAAATAATCCAACGGGTTGAGGTCCGGTGATCTAGCTGGCCACTCAATTGGTCCTCGTCGCCCTATCCAATGATTGGTATATCGTTCATCCAGAAAGTTTCTAACCGCCACTGCATAGTGAGGTGGTGCTCCATCTTGTTGAAAATGGAGGTTGTCTTCCGAATAATCTCCATCGTTTTCGATAATATCCGTTATCATGGGATCGATGACATCCTCAAGAAGATGTAAATACATTTGTCCATTCAAATTATCATCTATAAAAAGTGGTCCAATAATATTTTTGCCAAAAATACCACACCAAACATTCAACTTCTGCGGAGTTTGTGTGTGGACCTCACGTATTAACCTGGGATTGGTATCGCTCCAGTAGCGACAATTGTGACGATTCACGTTTCCATTAACAAAAAATGTACTCTCGTCTGAAAAACAAATATTGAAGAGCAAATTGGGATTTGTTCTCAGACGCTCAGACATTTCCTCACAAAACTGTTGACGTCTGTCAAAATCGTCTTCGTTCAGTTCATGTACAAGTTTTAGTTTGTATGGATGGAATCGATGTGACTTGAGAATTCTCTGAATACTCGATCGCGCTACACCTGACGCGTCAGCCAAGCTTCTAATACTTTGAGTAGGATCCATAGCCACGTGCCCCAAAACCGCTATCTCAACAGCCTCGTTCCTTATCAGACGTTCAGGATGATGTTTCTGGTTTCCCACAGACCCAGTTCTTTCGAATTTCTCAATCAACGTTTGAACATAGGTATGAGATGCATTTTTCCCTGGATGCCTTGTATTGAAAATTCTAGCTGCAGCTCTTAGACAATCATCATTTTTGTAGTAAAGTTTCACTAACTCAATTCGTTCTTCTAATGCGTAAACCATTGTCAGGCAGAAACTTAACTCACAGAATACGAATCAAATGATATTTCCAGAAGAATCATGCGAACTGTGAATTCATGCTGAGAACATACACGCAGGAGAACCATAAAAAACAGGTATTTTTTGTCTATGAAAAAGTCAACAGAACAAAAACTAAGAAATATGGTTTCCGGGCTTCAGTGCCGTGGTCGGTTCACCTCTGTGGAGGAGGTTCCTTTGGACGTTTCGCTCACAATTGGGGTGGGCATCTTCCGCTTGTGATGTTGTATTCGCGAATAGCGACATAAAACTGATACTTGGTTGAAAGATCTTCGCAATTAATAGTCCCAACCTGGCTACTTACTTTGTTTTGACTAATTTGTTTTCGTTTTTCGTGGGGTGACTGGATTACCTGACCGGATGGGATGTTGCTATTGTCTATCTGTCCACTCATTGAGTCTTAAAATAGTTAATAAATTTAATTTGAATAGGAACAGGTAAGATATTGACTATTTACATTGAACCTGTCAACAACACTAATTTCAATCACCATTCATTCTATTTTGGAAAAATTATGGACGTTTGGATAGAGAATGATGAGAGCTTG